GGAAAGGTCTCCTGGTGTATGCTAAGCATGAAGGAAGCGGTCTGAGACAAGCCAGCGGATCGAGAAGGAAAAACCCATTCCGGGATGGGAGAGCAAGGCCTTGAGTAGCAATACGGAGCGGGGGCAGGTGAAGCAGCAGCGCTGCGTGGTGGGTGGGCTTTTGGGTTGGGTGCGTTAATTACCAGTAGGTGATCCTGCAAATACCGTTGCTGTGAGCTACAAGAGCAAAATTCTACTGGTGGCACCTCACAGAATCAGAGATTGCCTTAAATCAGACTTGGGATAGCTCTGGCACTTGGAGTTTGTAGCCGTTGCCTTTCTTATCTCTCACGCTCTCAGACTGGGGAGGGTTAACAGAGGTCTCCAGCCGTGGCTTGCGCTGTTTCGATTCCATTACCAATTCTGACGTGAAAAGCAGGTCCCTCCGATCACTGGAGCTAAAGCTATTTTCATTTTGAGGCTGCAGTTGGTAAAGATGAAGCAGGCTTTGTCTTTGAGTTGAGTCTGGTGGGGTTTTCAAGGTGATGATGGGATGAAGAGTTTTGGGAACAATTTGTTGCTGTATCTCTGAATGTAGGAACTGGGGCTGGCCATTCTGAAACGGATGATTTAGGAAGACTTGGTGATCCAGGCCAGGCTGGAGGAGGCTTGGAGCAACCTGGTCTAGTGGAAGGTGTCCCTACCCATTGCAGGGGGGATGGAACTAGATGATCTTTAAGGTCCCTTCCAACCCAAACCATTCTCTGATTCTATGATTCCCCTGTGTAATAAATGCTCGAGTTGAGGTGCTGACCTGCAGTCATTTAAGAGCTTCCATTTGCTCGCAGCAGGCCTGCTGCCTTAACTTGGGATCTCTGACGCTTTGCCTTCCCTTTTGTTTCTCTTTCTGTTATACTTTCTCACCCAGGTTACTTGTGTTATTTTCCTGCTTGATTTTTCTTTCTGCTTCCTCTCTGGTGCTCTGCTAACAGGAGTAAATCAGAGTAGACGGTTGTACATCAGGTCCTGCGGCGGGCTGATGTGCGTACGTGGGGTTATGAATACTTCAGATTCATGTTACTGAACAACAGGCTCCCTGTTAACCTGCTAAAATCGGCTCAGCCCTGTCCTGCTGATTACTGTTCTCCCTGCTCCATGCTCTTTAATTTTTTATGTCCGTCTTCTGGAATCAGATGTGCAGTACTTCTTAAAACAAGGGTTTTAAACTTTAAGCGTAGCGCACTTGAACGAGCCCTGGTTAATTTCTCTGGAGACGTGCGTCATCGCTTACGCAAACAGACACGGTACAGGCAACGTACAGCGTCAAGTACGGGATCATGGGACTCCTGTTCTTGTCCATTCCATCCCATTCTGCCAAGAAGGAGTTAAGATGCAAAGAAAAGAAAACAGTAGGGAGGCGTAGGAAAGCTGAGACAATATCCTTGTCCACAGAGGTGGTTTTAGGTGGGAGGTGGCTGGAAGCAAATGGGAAGCTGCTGCTGTGGGATTTTCTTGGAAAAAAGGAATCTACTGCGGGGAGATTTCTTTCATCTCTTAAGAAGAATAGATACCAGGAGACTGAAAAGGGAATGGTGAAAAAGCTGATGGCAATGATCAAGGGAAGGGAGTTGATAGGGGAACGATCTGTGGGACTTGTACTGAGAAACATGGTTCATTTTATTTATTTATACAGTTAATAGGCAGTTTTGCTAGCTGGACTGTAACAACATTCGTACTGTTTGACATGGGGTGAGAACTCTTCGGCGAAGATGTTCCAGGTTGCTGCCTCAGTATGTTTCAGTGGTGGCTGAGCTTGTGCTTGTGTAGAAGTCGGAGCCATCACAGCGGGTGCCATTTTTGGCTGGGGTCACACTGTGATTTTCCCTGTTGCTGGAGTTTAAAGGCAGCCTTAAGCCATCTGAGTAGGACCGGCTAATAAACTAGCCGTGGGAAATTGTCATTCGGTGTCGGTACTCTTACAGTCCATATTGCTGTCTGTAACGTTCTAGTTAGGCTGCTAATTGTTCCTCAATTAGTGTAGGAGTAGTTTTTATACATGGGATTACGTATTAAGAATTAGACTGATCTGACACAAGGAACGCATGACCTCAGATTCGTGATCAGGGTATGGGGAGTGGTTTTGGGATAGTTTTGGGATAGCATGCAATACCCAGCCATCTCACTGTTATGGCTCATTTGTGTCTTCTTTTGCAGGAAGGCCCAGGAAGGTCTGGCTGTTGGTGTGTGCCTGCTCTTCCTTGGGACATGTCCAATGTATCCAGTTACGCCCTTCGAATGGCCCGGCTGAGTGCTCAGATATTTGGAGAAGTTGTCAGGCCAACTGACTCGAAATCGATGAAGGTAGTGAAGTTATTCAGTGAGCAGCCTTTGGCCAAGCGGAAGGAGGTGTACAGCTGGTATCCTCCCCACAACACCTACTACGCCCTCATGAATAAACTCCGTTACTTTGGTCTCTACAGGTAATCGGCATGCTTATGGGGTGGGAGCAGAACTGGGGATGGGAAACGGGTGGGTCTGAGGTTTGTTACAGGTTTTTTACCTCAAGGCAAAGAGGAACATGGGAAAAAAAATATCAGTTTGGAATATGGTGCATATGGAAATACGCACTGGATTGTTGCAGTGAGGGCAAGGAGAATAAAGTAAGTGACTACTGTCTGAGTAACTTTTCCCATAATTAGAACCTTTTGCGAGGGAGACTTTAGGTGCAGTTATGGGCAACCAGTTAGTTAAGAAATAGTTCTTGCTTTGGCTTTGTGGGGAAGGGAAGGGAGCTTTTTCATAGGCAAGAGGTGGGTCTGGAGGCCTGAACATGGCAAATGAATGTGCTACAAAAAGGTGATGTTGCCTTAACACAAAAATTGCATTAAGACAGTCTTACCATATATACCTCGATCATTCAACAGCCAGTAAGTGAAATTTAGAGGAGAAGGAAAGTCTGTGTTAGGCTGAATGGACTTTTTATCCTTCAAAATAAATCAAGTTAAATTCCAAATGTGGTTTAATTAGCCTTGTTAATTCCAGCTTCATCCAAACCAGTTGTCTAATTGCTGAATGAATTTCCAGTGTCAAGTAGAAAAAAACCCTGCCCTGCTAAAGAACAGCACCAGAGGTCAAATGCAGTCGTTTGACTTCAGCCAGGTAGCACTAGAGAAACTCCTTAAAAATGAGGCTGCTCACCCGAAGGCAAACCAGATTAATTTCTGTTGCTAGTGCCACAATTCTAGGGTTCAAGGGTTGCATCCAGGACGCCCTTGGTTTAGGTGGACATGCAAACTCTTCCTAGAATAGCTGTTTGACACACAGAGCCTTGATGACGCGATCGTGTTCTCTACTCTTTTCCTTCCCCTCCTAATCTCGAGTTCCTTCTCTAGCTCTGTATACAGAGAGCTTGTGGAAGATCAGGTTTGCTGGTCAGAAATACTTAATGAAGAGTTGAAGAGTAAAGCGACCTGATAATAATGCACAAGTGTGTTTCTTTCTTTTTCAGAAAAGTTGTGTTTAAAAATAGCAGTGCAGCAATCGCAGGCCAGTTCGGATGCAGTTGACGCTTTTGAAAGATACCTTTGCACTGGAAAATACAGGGACAGAGATTAAATAGAATTTATTAGAACATTATTGAGGATTCATTATCTCTGCCAGCCCCTTTATCCTCCTTCCTGTTTTATTCTCCTATTAAGATTCTACCAGTAGCTGATGCTTCCTTCATAACTCATTCCTGAACTCACCTGAGAGCAGTGTCATGTACTGTAATTACCGCTCAGCATGCCCCTGTTTTCTTAGAAGCTAATGACCTGAAATTAGTATCTAGCACGGAAACACAACATGCTGTTGCTAGACTGCTGAGCTAGATGAGAAGGGTGAAATTCTCATTCTCGCTCTTGCTGATTTTTATATTTTACTGCTCATTCAAACATAGTGGATCGATAAATGCAATGGAAATAATATATCTGTGCACACACCATTTGTTGCAGAAAAGGGCAACCTTGTTAGTTCTGAAAGTACCAGGGGAAATCTTTTCATGTTACTCCGCACGAAATTACCTGTTAGCAGTGACACCGAATACGCTGCAGGGTGTTTCAGGGTGGACTTCACCATTAAAAGAGTTTTGAGGCGTGTTTTTGTGATCATACACTTCAAAGAACCTTTCACATCTGGATATTCCAAGAAATACAGTAAACCTTTTTATTGTCCTCCCCCATCCAGGGATGAGCACCAGGACTTTAAGGAGGAGATGAGGCGATTGAAAAAGCTCCGTGGGAAGGAAAAGCCAAAGAAGGGGGAAGGAAAGAGAGCTCTCAAGAAGAAATAGTGCCACTTGGACAATGTAATGAACTACTCGGGAAATGCTGGAGAGCAGCTGTAACTCCGACTTTCTGTTCCCAGCTGGAGGGGTGCTTGGCATGTGAGATGCCTGTGGGGCACAGGAAACACACTGAAGTACTGGAGTCCACCTTGGGAGTGCACTTGGGTCTTTGTGGTTTTGTTGGGTTTGAATTTCTGTAGGCGAAATACACGGTGTTTCGCAGCACATCAGTCTGCCAGCCCACTCTTACCCAAGAAGTAAAAACAGTCGTACAAAAATAAGTGCTTAATGTTTTTCTTGCAAACACCTTTAGCTGTTTCAATTTGTCTAGATCTGGGAAACTTTGTTTTTCATTGTCTGTTTTACTTTCCTGGACTTCATATCATGCTGTTTTGCATGTGGCCACAAAGAAATAAGGGGTTTTGCTTCTGCTGCTGCTTGTCACTTGGCCTGTTACAGTGGGATTCATTTCAGGTAGCTGTAGTGGGTTTGCTGGGAGGACACGTCTGAAGTGCTTCACGGGGTGACGAACAGTTTCGCTGGCGTACAGTCCGTGGCTTTATCGCCAGGCTCCTCCAGGGTTAGTACTGACTGCATACATCTGCTGTTCTTCCCTGTCAGTCCCTGTCCGGGAGCAGCAGGTACGGCATGCGGCTGCGCGGCTCTGCCTGCCCACGCGTGCGGCCTGCCTGCCTCTGCCCTGAAGTGGCACCTTTGAATTTCCAGACTGTGTAAGCTTAGTGGAGCGTCCGTGAAGTGCTGAAGGAGGGCTATTAAAAATGTAGCAGGACTGGAGCAGAAAGTATTTGCGCAGTTAGCTTGGGGCGTGCTTGATTTTTGCATAGAGGCGTTCTGACGGAAGGAGCGTTACTAACCTGCTGATGCTTCTAAACCCAAGCATGTTCAAATACAAGTGTATTTGGAAGGGTCTGTCCAGTCACTGAAATCGATGATTCTACATAAATTTGTATTAGCTTAACAACTGGACTTCCCCGAGGTTATTGACTGAAGAGGCACTGATCGTATTAAAGGTGTTTTGTTTAGTACCCTTACTGAGTGTTACCTGGCTTTCTGAGCTCCGAGGAGCTGATTTTAGATCTGCGGTTGCAGAAGAACTGCCAAAGTTCTTAGCACCGACAAGAAAATGCTGTGAAAGTCAGTGAGAGATTTATCTGCTCTGCACTGCAGTGGGGAGTTCCTCTCTTATTTAAAATTCTTTTAGTAACTTAAAACATTTGCTCAGCTCTAACGTGCCTGTGGCATTTTAGTGCTCTGTGTTTGTGACTTGTACCGCAGTTCACAGAGCCTGTGATGGGAGTTCCGAGAAGCACTTGGTTCCTGGGACTGCGTGTGGCTGAGGGGAAGCAGTCTGGTTCCCTTGAATTCCTCTTCAGGAAGCGGGGCCGCATGGAGCCACCTACTAGATCGGAGAGGGAATTGCCCAGGTCGGAAGGTTGCAGCTGCCTGACACTTGATGGCTGTGGCCGTGGGGGGTGAAGTTGCTCGGTTGTTTGGTGGGAAGAGCAGTGCTGAACCTCTTCAGCAGAATTACTGCAGCTGCTTTGGACGGCTGGTGGTTGTACTTCGGCAAGAACGCGGTGTCTGCTAAAATTAAACCGAAGCCATGAAAATATTTTCTCTGCAGTTTAAGATGAAAAATCAACATCATCCTTTTTTTTGTTCCTGTGAAACACTTAAAGCTTTGACAGTATGAGCATGCAAGAAAGTGTGCATGCATCAAAAAGTGAATTATGGTCCTGCTGCGGTGAAGTAAGTGTGCGTCACCTTCAGCTGTCTGTGTGGGGAGACCTGGGTATGAGCATACGGATAGAATATGCAGCATGGCTGGCCATGGTTATGCTTCTGAACTCCCATTTAGCTTGTGTAAGGACTGAGCATCTGTGGAGCCTACTGAGGGCAGTGAATGCTGCAGGCATTCTGTATCTCGGCATGCCACCTTGCTACGTGCCACCTTGCTACACACAGATACCGTCTCAGATGTGTTAGATCAGGTAATTCGGCTTGGGGCTCAGATCTGTTCTTCCTTGTCTACTCCAAGACACCTACCTGTTCATGGGGTTTGAGAAGTTCCTGTCATGAACAGGAAAGCAAAAATCGTTTGGCTAGTCGTCTCTGATCATGGAATCTTGTTCGTAGGAAGAGGATCCCCTCTGTGCCACCTGCCAGGGCAAACCTGCTCTAGAATCAAAGCGTCACCCTGGGAACGTACTTTGGGAAGATACTTAGAATAGCATATCCAAAAGAGGAGAGAAACGGTGAAATAATCAGATGTGAAAGAAATGGACTGAATTGCTGATTTTCATCTTCTCTCCGCAGTGTTTGCACAAGCAGGTGGATGGAGTGAAAAATGAAAACTGTTCAGAAGAGCAGTATCAGGAAGGTTCCTCTGTCTAATTTTTATTATCTTTCTTCTGTAGTACTCATTCGATAGAACTAGGTCTTCTCACAAATGGCTGTTTCCCCTCCCCTGGGACATCACTGTGAAATAACAGTGATTGAGACATTTTGGAGTTTATCCTACTATTGGATAATCCATTCCTTGCTGGGAGCGCTAGTGTTTTGTTCCAGAAAATACAGCTTTCTCCACTCCACAGCTGGGATAAAGAGGCCCTTTCCTACCTCCCTTCCAACCTGTGCTCTGTCGTTGAGGGGTAGGTGTTGCCTGGAGAAAAACACATCTTGTCAGTCGCAGGGCAGACGGGCAGTCGATCCTGAAACAGTGTGCCAGGTACTCACGCAGTCTGTGCATTTAGGAGGGGAAGGAGAGGTTCAACACTACTCTGAGGGGTAAGGGTGGGAACACAGGCTTTTTGCAGCTGTTGCTATAATGGCACATCCATTTTATGTACAAATAATCCAGTGCAATTACAGTCTCATTTGAGGCTTTCCCCTCACGTTGATTCATTTGAAACTGGTGCGTTTTGGTACAAAAGCCACCCTTTTCCTGAGGGTGAGGGCTGACTGTCCTTGGCAGATGTTTAGATGGATGGGAATACACCTAGTCAGCTGATCTCTGAGGGACTGAGAGTCACATCCTAAACTCTTCCCAATCCTGAACAGCTTTATGAAGTGCCACTGCTGCCTTAATTTGCAGTGCTTTAACTACGGCTGCCTGCAATTAGGCTCTGGTATGCCACAGCCGTTGCTGCCGAGTACTGCCTTGATAATCACGAGCTACGCTGCCAGCAGGCTGGCCCAGTTGCTGTACATATTCTATAGGACATGCAGTTATTGCCCCAACCTTGATACGGAAAGTCTTGCAGACAGGCAGAAGTTCACTTGCGTATGACCTAACTTTGTAATGGTGGAAGGAAGGGGAAAAGAGGAAGAAATAAAGACAGTGTTGCTTTCTGGCAGCGGAACCGGTGTGTTACAGTATAGATGTACGTGCTCCGCTCAGGAAAGTATTAACTTGAACAAAGTTTCTCCCAGTGCCGAAAGAGTTTATTCTACTTATTAAAGCAATGAGCTGAGTTTATGCCGGTCAGCAAAACGCACCTGAGTTACTCTGGTTTTAGACACATGCTTTGTCTTACTTCCCTGCGTTTCCTCAAGAGCAAAATCAGGATAATGATTCCTTAGTGAATAGTGCCACGAGGGTAAGCTGCTTCTAGGGTGGGAGTTTACCCCAGGAAACTTTGTGTAAAGAACAGAACTTAGTGTGGCTGTGGTAGGACTTGCACCCCTGCCTATTTCAGAGAGCTGCCTTCAAGTAGCAGTTGATGACATTTTTAACTTGACGTGGTAAGTTACCGTGTTCACTCTTCTGCTTTAGATGTCAGGAAAAAAATCTTGATTTGGTCAGAAAGTAAGAATTAAATATCATAGGTATTTCTTGAACTGTAAATACTTTTGAAATTTTAAAGCATTCTCTACCACTTCAGGCTGTTTTAGGATTGTTTTAAAAAACAACAAAATGAAGTCTGTATGGTTTGGAAAAGCTTTGTAAATCCAAAAGGCTGCTTTGATGAGGGACAGACTCTGTTTTGTATGGTTTTCTCTTTCTTTTAAAGCACAAAGGATAACACATAAAGAAAACAAGTGCTATGGGGATCTCAGATTGATTCCTTTAAACTCAGTTCGTCTCAGAACTGTTTGATTGTGACAGTTCTTGTACAGTCTCTTGGGAATAGCTCCTGGAAACAAAATCCTCCAAGGGGGCACATTCTGTTTGGCATCTTGATATTGAGACATGTGAGAGCAGAAACTCTTCCTGTTTAACCTCATCTAGGGGCAGCATCGTTTCTCTCACCTGCCCATGCAACAATGGAAAACTCACAAGTCCTAATAACATTTTTTGAAAGGATTTATTAGCGTATAAAAGGAAGCAGAAATGAAAACAATACCCTTACTGTTATTAAAGTCAAGAAGAAAAACTTAAATGATGTGTGTGGGTTAGATATTTAGAGTGGATCTTTGTGTGCCTGCACAGCTGGGGTAGCATGAAAAAAGGCATTTTTGTCTTTTCACCCCCTTCTCCTCACTTTTCCTTGTCCCTTTCCTCGTCCTTTTCCTCAAGTGTAATAACAACGTGTCTTGAGTGCCGAGGAAGGAACAGACATGGAGTGACATCTGAAAGAATTTGCGTGCGAAGGCTCGGTCACAGCAGGGCACAGCTATAGCGTGTCCAACAGCGAGCAGTGGCACTGTAGGCAGATACTAGGGGGACGTTGCCACCGTGCTGGCTGACAAATTATTTAGGGTGGTCTAGGGGGATAAATACGAAATGAACGGGATAACGATCAGGACACCAAAGTATCTTTATATGTACTGTGTTGAGTTGTTCTGGGTGGAATACTGGGGAAAATTCCACAAGGTGAAGTATTTGCAAAATTGAGAAGATTCCCAAGAAGTGAGTTCGGCTTCTGTTCGACTTCTTCTTCAGACTCTCTGAGTCAGGCAGAGCTAGACTGAGCCAAGTGTTACAGCACGGGAACCGCTTCTCTCCCCAAAGAGAAGGCAGACTGGATGACCTCATACCTTTTCTCATAGCATAGCTAGGTCTGTGAAAACAAATCTCACC